CGTAAGACGTACGAAAAGAAAAATATAAGTAGAACACATAAAAGTGAACAAAAATTGTATAGGTCATTTTTCAAACAACCACGTAAAATTTCGAGATATTAATTAAAATAGTTGGGTATATCAGAGCACGGCGACGCAGCAGGCGGGACATACGGCTCGCCGCGGCCGGCAAAGAAAATGGAAAAACGCATACGTACACGGACGCACACATGGAGCTACTCATTTCAAATGGTCCACCTCTCTGGTCTATAAAATAAGCCCGCGAGCAATCGTCCATTTTTTCGCCGGCCGTAGCGAGTTGTATGTCTCGCCTGCCATGTCGCCGCACTCTGATATCCCCAACTATTTTAATTAATATCTCGAAATTTTACGTGGTTGTTTGAAAAGTGACCTATACAATTTTTGTTCACTTTTATGTGTTCTACTTATATTTTTCTTTTCGTACGTCTTACGCGGGATACCCTGTATATATATTTCTTTTAGGAATAATTCAACTTGCAAATTTGTTGTTACTAATTTTGTTAATTTTCTTTTTCTATTGCAAGATCCGCGTACCAAAGATTTGTTTCTGATCGACACACCATGGTGGAATGCACTTTTGATTGTATCCTACCTATACTTCGTAAATGTTTTTGGGCCGAAATTCATGAATAAAAGGCAATCGTACAAATTGAGCAGGATAATACAGATATATAATTTTACACAAATTATAATTAACTTATACTTATTTTATAAGGTAAGTTATGTTATATTTTCAACTTATTTTTTAATATCTAATCTTTTACAAAGGAATAAAAATAAGAAAAAGCATTTCTCTCTATTGTTTAATTATTAAATTTTTCGATTTTCCGAAAATACCAAAAAGTCAATATTTAAAGAAACTTTGAAAATATCGCTAATTTCGTAAATTTTAAATGCAATGTAATAATATTTTTAGATGTATAAGATGTGTTTAGAATACTATTTAACTTGTTCCTTAGATTCTAAAAACTTATTCTACATTATAAAATATGTATTGATATATGTATAATGTTAAATTAACTAAAATAAAACGTTACTTTAACGTTTGAGAGAAGTATTAATCTACGGTTCTGATGAAATGAAAATATTAAATTAACATGATAATCTATGTCTGACATATTAAATATGTCAATTTAACACAACCTGTGATTTTTGACGATATTCAAGTGTTAAATTCTTGTGTTAATTTTTTACATGTTATGCGTGTTACTTTTTATCATTTGTTTTGTGTTAAATTTACACATAAATGAGAGTGAATAATTTTGCACACATAAAATATTAAATTTAACACATCAGTTTTTACAATATAAAAATTAGTCATTTTGTTGTATGAATAAATCAAGTAAATATTTCTCGTTTAAAATTTGTTACAGTTATTTTACATTTATACCATTTATACTATTTACTTATAGAAAAAGATCTCAATTCGTGCAACTGAACAGAAACCAGATAAAAATTCGCCGACAAGAAATAATATCTCTGTTACAACATAACTGAAAACATTTGCCTGAACATTTGTATTCAAACTTAGTTAGAATATCTGATATGTGTGCGTGCGTGCGTGCGTGCGTGCGTGCGTGCGTGCGTGCGTGCGTGTGTGTGTGTGTGTGTGTGTGTGTGTGTGTGTGTGTGTGTGTGTGTGTGTGTGTGTGTATACATATACCAGGTTTACAAGTATGAAATGCGGATTTTTTTTCCAAAAAAACACGTTAAATTCGGAAGAATGATAAAAAGAGGCTTATTCAAAGTATGCTCCATTGCTAGTTACACATTTTTTCTGTCTTTTAGACAATTTATGGATACCACGCCAGTAAAAATCTTCCCCTTTTGCCGCGAACTATTCATCGAGCCATTTTTTCACATTTTCGTACGAACCAAAGCGCTGCTCAGCAAGTGCGTGACCCATCGATGCAAACAAATGGTAATCGGAAGGAGCTAAGTCTGGTGAGTAAGCCGCATGGGGTAGAACTTCCCAGCTGAGTGCTTCCAACGTGTCGCGAACCGGTTTTGCCGTATGTGATGGAGCATTGTCATGGAGAAAAATGATCTTGTGTTGCCTCTTTTAGTATTCTGGTCGTTTTTCAAGCAACGAAACGATTCAAATCGATCAATTGTTATTGGTAGCGTTTGGTATTAACCGTTTCACCAGACTTTAACAGCTCGTAATAGACCACACCCTTCTGGTCCCACCAAACACAGAACATCGTCTTCCTGCCAAAGCGATTCGGTCTTGCGGTCGATGTGGATGGTGCGCCTGGGTCTACCCATGATTTTTTGCGCTTGGGATTCTCGAAATAAATCCATTTTTCATCCCCAGTAACGATATGATGCAAAAACGACTTTCTTTGGTATCGTTCGAGCAAAATTTCACATGTGTTTTTGCGCCTCTCCATCTGCCTCTCGTTCAACTCATGTGGTACCCATTTGCCGATCTTCTGAATCTTTCCCATCTCTCGTAGGCGATTGGAAACAGCTTGTTGACTAACGTTAAATTGCTCTGCGAGTTGTTTTTGTGTTTGTGAATCATCTGCGTCCAACAATGCTTGCAACTCTACATCTTCGTATCATTTTGGCGGTTTTCCGTGTTCCTTGTTTGCAACATCGAAATCACCACTTTTGAAACGCCGAAACCATCGTTCACACGTATCTTGCGATGGAGCATGTTTACCATAAGCTTTTCGAAGTAATCGGTATGATTCAGCAACAGTTTTCTTCAAATAAAAACAAAAAATTAATGCTGTCCGCGAATGCTCTTTATTTGGTATAAATTTCGACATATTGAACACAGCAACACAACACTATGCAAACACTTTTTCAATTTATCACT